GCTTCATCAAAGGCTCCTTAACCTCACCTGGCTGCCACTTGGCAAAACTGGGATGGAAGGAAGCACTGGGAAAAGGTTATCTGCAGGTTTGGGAAAGCAGAGTGGGACACTGACTTATATTGTAATGGTTGTTTTCTTGGCCAGAATGCCTAGGAAGAATAGCTCCTAACACTAAAGCTTTAGAGTGAAGAGAAAAAAGTCTTCAAGCATGAATGACTAATGTACGGCCTTGTTTATTCTAATAACTGCTGGAAATTAACACCATTCCTCTCCAATGTTTTATAAGTATGTCTCTTTACAGCCTTCCTGTAAGGTAGCAAACATATTATAAAATGCATGTTCTTTCTCAGAGAATATTTGGGTGCCTGTATTTCCTGCTGTTACCTGTAAAACTCCCAGGTGCTCACCGTGTTTAATTTTGGGGCTCATTAAGGAAATGTAAGGACTGCAGCTTGAGGAGTATAAAACCATAATCTAACTTACCCTTTTCTTTGTAGATACTGCAGGAGGAGGGGTTGGCTGAAGTCCACCCTCATCATGTCAGTTCCGCAAACCAGCACCTCCAAAGGCAAAGTCATGCTCAAAGAATACAGCGGGCGCAAGATAGAAGTGGAGCACATCTTCAAGTGGATCACAGCCCACGCTGCTTCTCGCATCAAAACCATCTACAACTCCGAACATTTACGAGAAGAATGGAACAAAAGCGACCAGTACCGGGTGAAAATCTACCTGTTTGCCAACCTCGACCAGCCTCCGGCCTTCTTCTCCGCACTAAGTGTGAAGTTTACTGGAAGAGTAGAGTTTATTTTTGTGAACGTGGAAAACTGGGACAATAAAAGTTACATGGCAGAAATCGGTGTCTACAAGACGCCCTCCTACATACTTAGGACTCCCGAGGGGATCTACAGGTATGGGAATAACACTGGTGAATTCATATCACTACGTGCCATGGATTCCTTTTTGCGCTCCCTGCAACCCGAAGTTAACGACTTGTTTGTTTTAAGCCTAGTTTTGGTCAATCTGATGGCTTGGATGGACCTGTTCATCACACAGGGCGCTACCATAAAGCGTTTTGTGGTTCTTATAAGCACTTTAGGGACGTATAACTCACTACTAATTATTTCCTGGCTGCCCGTGTTGGGTTTTTTGCAACTACCTTATTAGACAGCTTTTACGAGTACAGTTTAAAACTCTTCAGGTACTCTAACACAACCACTTTGGCTTCTTGGGTGAGAGCCGACTGGATGTTCTACTCCTCGCATCCAGCCCTCTTCCTCAGCACGTACCTCGGCCACGGGCTGCTCATCGACTACTTTGAGAAAAAAAGGCGGCGCCATAACAACGCTGACGAAGTCAACGCGAACAACCTGGAGTGGCTGTCGAGCCTGTGGGACTGGTACACCAGCTACTTGTTTCATCCCATTGCTTCCTTCCAGCACTTCCCTTTTGACTCGGACTGGGACGAAGACCCAGACCTGTTCCTGGAGCGACTGGCCTTTCCCGATCTCTGGCTTCACCCTCTGATACCGACCGATTACATCAAAAACTTACCCATCTGGAGGTTTAAATGCCTCGGCGGCCATCCCGACGAGGAGCTGCTGGAAGCCAGCCAAGACAGCGAAAGTGACTCTGAGAGCGAAACCAGAGAGGTCTCCAGCAGCGAAAGGGAAGGCTCGGAGGACGATGAACCAAACACATTTCACGGGCCCAGCGCCGGAGAGCGGCGGTGCCGTGCCCAGCCCTGCTCGTGTGCCAGCCAATATTGCCCGAGCGAGCCGTACGAAGGGAAAGCAGCGAGGTCGTACGGCTCCTACAGCACCACGGGCGACGCCGAGCCAGACTGGGCGGCCTGGCCCCCCGAGATGTTGCACTGTACGGAATGCGTTGTGTGTCTAGAGAATTTCCAGCACGGCTGCCTGCTGATGGGCTTGCCGTGCGGCCACGTCTTCCACCAGAATTGCATCGTCATGTGGCTGGCCGGGGGGCGGCACTGCTGCCCCGTCTGCAGGTGGGCTTCGTACAAAAAGAAGCAGCCCTACACGCCCCCGCAGCCTTTGGCACACGATTCCCCCTCTTAGCCCTGCGCCGCCGCCGTCCTTTGTAAGCTCCCGGGGTATTCCTGCTTGCCTTTTAAATGTTAGTCACTTCCCAGATTATGTGGTTTGGAGTTTTTAGTTTCAATGTTAGTGCCGTGAGCTCAGATCTACATGAAGCTAACGTTAACGACAGAATCATTTGGTTGCCTTGTGTGTCGAACTGAATGCAGACGTAACCGTGCGGTAACTCGCTTTTCTTTTCAACACCCCAAAACTCGATGCTGTTTTTTGGAAGCACAAAAATCAAGCCTACAAGAGGAGCGCGTTCCAGCAAACGTTTACACGTCAGGATGTGGGTGCCACCGAATCAGAGACAATTGCTTAATTTAAGTGTTTCTTCTTTTAGGGTCTGTTCAGCACATCTTTGTTGAATAATGTATGTTGTAAGCCAGTACCATTGAGAAAAAAAAAAAAAATCCGTGAAATAAATTATTTTAAAAGGAGATTTGTAACGTTAATTGTTTTGATAAATATTTTGTGTGTATGGTTACAGATGTCTTGCTGGTCTGATTTATCTGTGAAGACAATAAAAATATAACACAACTTTTGTGACTAATAACTCGTCTCCTGGTGATGCCGGGATTCATTTCTCCAGTGTTTGTCACCAACCAGGCTGAAGGCAGTGGTGTCACACTGCAGCTTCTTCATTCCTAAGTCTTCTCAGCTTGAGCGGGGCGTTTCTAATTAACCGTTTTAATTAATGGCTTTATCAGGCAGAGATCCTCTCCGGTACCCCTATCCGCAGACATCAAGAAGACTTCAGAGCGTCCCTCTACGGAACCGTCACGAAGCAGCAGAACGGGGTGCGGGGCCTGAAGCAGCTCGAAAAGGTCAAACGTGCCAGGTCCCAAGGGGCTTTTTGGAAGTGACTTCAGATTTCTTGGAGAAGAGCGAGATGTTTGATGCCAGGAGGAAAAAAAAACAAAACAAAAAAAAAAAGTCTGTTTCTTTGTGTTTCAGTAAGAAACTCTAGTTTTGGTTGTAGCTTTCAGAAATCATCTAAAACCTGAAGGATTATTTTTTTTTGAGGGGGAGGAGTGATAATTTACAATGAAGCAGAAGAAAAGGTAAATAAACGAGAAAGGGGGGTTGATTTGTTTAATGTAACGTGGTAGAAGCAAGAGTGTCACTTTTATTTCCTTTCTGATTCTTGCCCATATGATATAAAAAGATAAATAAAGGGGAAACCTGCCCGCAGGTCCCTCCTGCAGCTCGGATCTCTCTTTGCTCTCTCCCTGCAGCCATTTGGGAGCTTTGTGCCATCGTTTCCTCCGTGCAGGAGACCCAGACACTAATCTTTTCTTCCTAACCAAGCAATGTTTCCCCCTCCAGGCAGTCGCCGGGTGTCATGGCAGGAGGACGCTCTCCTATACCCACAGGAGCAGTTTTTAGCCGTGAGTACTTCTTCTTTCCTCATTTCCTATCGCAGCACTGAGGCAGGGAAGGGGAAGGGGCACCACAGCGAAATTTTGGCTCTGTTTTAGGCCACGGCTCCGGCTTATCGGCAAACTCGTTGGGCTGCAGGCTGTTTGCACGCCCTCCGTTGCTCCGCCGACCCAGTGCTTCTGATAAATGGCACAAGCTGCTGTTAATGAGCTTTTCTGCTAATTAAGCAGAAGAGCCACGGCGGGCACAGCTGGAGGTGTGGATAACGCCCAGCGGCTGGCCGTGCCGCCAGGCCCCATCCCATGGTGTCGGCCGGGCAGCGCCTGCTGAATGTGCCTGCCTCCAAGCGTTTATTTACAGGTTCTTTTTCTTAATCCTTTTTATCTATATTTTCTTTTTACCCCTTTTTTTCTCCATTTTCTTTTTTCTCCATTTTCTCCCTATTTCCTACTTTTTTTCCTCCATTTTCTTTTCTCTCATTTTTTTTTCTCCATTTCTTTTTTCTCCTTTTTTTCTCCATTTTCTTTTTTCTCCTTTTTCCTTTTCTCTCCTTTTTTCTCCTTTTGTCACCATTTTTTGTTTCTCCTTTTTCTGCATTTTCTTTTTTCTCCATTTCTTTTTTTCATCCTTTTTTTCTCCATTTTCTTGTTTTCTCCTTTTTTCTACATTTCATTTTCTCTCCTTTTTTCTCCTTTTTTTCTCCATTTTCTTTTTTTCTCCATTTTTTCTCCTTTCTCTCCATTTCCTTTTCTCTCCTTTTTTCTCCTTTTTTTCTCCATTTCCTTTTTTCTCTATTTCTCTTTTTTCTCCATTTTCTTTTTTTTCTCCTTTTTTCTCCATTTTCCTTTATTTTCTCCTTTTTTCCCCTTCCCTTTTTTCCCCCTTCCCTTTCTTTATTCCACCGTTAATCCCTTTAATTTCCTTATCATTATTATTTTAACCCTTTCCCAACCGGCACCGCCTCCCGGCCCGAGCACCGCGGGGGCGTGGCCTGAACGCACAGGGGGCGTGGCCAACCCAAAGGGGGGCGTGGCCAACCGAAAGGGGGCGTGGCCACACGCGCCTCACCCTCCGCCCCCACCCACCGCAGCCGCGCCAGGGCGGCGCCTTCAGCGCAGGCGCAGCCGGGCAGGGCGGGGCTTTGGCGCATGCGCAGCGCTCCCGCCCGTGCCCCGGGAGGTGAGGGCGGAAGCGGCGGGCGCTGCCATGGGGCTGTTCGGGAAGACCCCGGAGAAGCCGCCCAAGGAGATGGTGAGGGGCGGGGGGGGGAGGGGCAGGCGCTGCCTCACGGCCACAGCCGGGCTTAAAAGCGGCGTGTTTAACCGCGATTTTGGTTAAATAACCACATATTTAGTTGCCATTCGGGTTTAATAACGACATATTTGTCGCTCGTCACTTAAAGCTTGTGCTTTTTTAAGCTCTTTCCGTTGTTGTTAAATGGCGAAGTGGCAAAAACCCACAAGCGGGTAACGTTTTTTACCTGAATTCCCAGTAACTGTCACTCTTTCCCTTCCTGAGGTCAATGAGTGGTCCCTGAAGATCCGGAAGGAGATGCGGGTGATCGACAGGCAGATCAGAGGTGTGTGCTCCTCTCCTCCTCCCTTCCTCATCCTCCTTCAGGTATTTTGTAACCTTACACGATCCACATTACCAAAACGGCTTCGCCATGAAGTTCTCCAAGAAAAAGCCTCCAAAGAACCCAAGCAGTACCTGCTTCCCGTGAGGCGGGGCGTCCTGGAGGCCCTTGGCGAGAAGATTTTGACTCATCTTTGACTCGTGATTTCACCCAGAAGCCCTGGTGAAGGCTTTGTGGCGGCAGCCCTGAGGTGCCTGCTCCCAGTGACTCCTGGAGGCTGTTCCCCGCCCTCAGCCCCAGCTGGTTGGGTTCGTGTTTCCCCCACCCGGTCCCTTCTTGTTGGAGGGAGGTGCTGGGATGCTGGTGCAGCACAGCCCGGCTTTGTTCCCCTCCGTGGGATGAGTTCAGGGCTTGTGCCTCTTCCAGGAGCGCTGACGCATGGCGATGCTCGTTGTGAATTGTTTGGGCTCACCAAGGCACTTTGTGGGGCTGTGTCAGGCGCAGGCCAGCTGAGGCGTGTGGCTGATCTTACAGCAAAGCGTGTTTTAGCAATCACTTCATGGGAACAAACCACCCACATGTTCGCTGCCGATGGCTTCGCGGACCTTGGGTTTCCTCTCAACTTCATGCCCGTTTCAGTATTTTACCCCGGCAGTGGCTGTGCTCTGAGGAAGGATGCCAAGCTGGGACCTGCCCTCGTTTCCCTCAGGAGGGCTGCGCTGCACGTGTCTGGAGGCAGCACCACGCTTTGTGCCTCTGGGTTTTGCTCAGGGATGTTGCCACCCAGCTGCCTTCAGTCCCCCCTCCCTGCCACGAATCTCGTATTCTGCAGCTGTAGCACCTCAGATCTTTGTCTCACCTGCTTGGATCAGCTGGGACTTGGCTCGCTCCCATGCCTGACATACAGATAGATGTCTGTGAGGTTGTGAAGTTTCTGCAGATAGTAATGAGGAAGCAACAAGTGTATTTTTTCTGATTGCAGTCCTACAGATCTCTGCCAGTCCTGTAGGATAAAGAGCCATTGAATGAGCTTGGGAGAGTGACTCGTCCGGAGTCTTAGCTCCCATGGCAAAGCCTATAGCCAAAAAGTGTGTCTGGGTGCTTTGGCTTTTGTAAAAGGTCATCTTCTGGTTCTTGCCTGCATGTAGCTTCTGGTGTAAATCAAAAAGACTCAAACAAAGCTATTTGTAGCAGTATTTGTTGTGGTCGTTTCCTTCAGCCCCTTGCAGAAAGGTGTGCCTGGCCCTTACTTATCCAAGTTCTTCCTTTCCTTTAAGACAAGGTTTTCCAGAGCCACGTTTTGTCAGTGGCTAATTCACTGCTGACTCTGGAGAAGGGAGGGGTTGAGTAGCCCACGCTTGTTCCTGCATCTCTTACGTTGAGGTTTTTGAGGTACCTGGCTGCTTCTATACGCAGCCAGCATCATCTTGCGAGGCAGGTGTGTGAGCAGACACCACAGATCTGCTAGAGAAACCTTCATTATTTAAGGATGCCCATTTAATTTCACTTCCAGCTCTTTGTGCTCGCTGAGAACAGGCTCAGTGCAGTACTCCTGCTCCAGCTTGCTTTTATAGAAAGGGTTTGAATGACGCTGGATGCTAGGAGGGTTTGAGCAGGCTCTTTGAGGCCATATGTAAAGATTTGTTTGCATGTTTCCCCTGATGAATATCCATGACTCTGGTAGCAGGCAGACAGCTCATAATGTGAACGTGCCAGCTCACACCTGATGCAGGTGTTTAAAGCATGAGCAGTGCAAACTCAAGGCCGTAACTCTTTAAGCAGGAGCACAGACTTGGCTGGGTACCCATGTCAGGCTTAACGAGCTGTGCCTGAGGGAATAATTAAGTTTGTCTGCAAGTGTGAAGATTTTTTTGGTGGTAATGAAGAAATCATTGGTTCTAAGTAATTCTCAGCACCTTTGTAAATTCATTGTGTAAGTGGCTGTGCTTTGTTGTTGTTGTTGTTGAGGGAAATATAAACCTTTTAGCCTCTGTGTGATCAGCCTTCTACAAACTTTGAGAGCATATTTTGTCAGATAAATACATCTCAGGGATCTAGAAATGATGAGAACGTTTTTTTTTTCCTCTAACATCCCTCGGATTCACACAAAGATAGGCATGTGGGTTAAGCTGTGAATGTGGCGTCTGACAGGTGAGTATTTTCACGGATAAAAATTCCTGTCCCTCTGCTGAGACTGGTTTTATCTCCTTGTGGTAACTTTGTTCCATCTGGGAATGAACATGGAAGAGGTAATCTTGCAAGCAGCAAATCAGTACAGTAATTAAAGTGTGTGTATGTGTATGTGTGTATTTATTTGTATCAGGCTGGTGTAATAGTGAAGCTATTCTGACTTTGTAGGTAAGGTTCTCATTGCTTTGTTCTTACTAGACCTTTTTTCCTTAAGCTCACCTTAGCTCAGTTTCATGCAGCAATATTTCTGGGCAGCCATTCACAGTACCCTAATTACAAAGGAAATTACAGAGGTTGATGTTGAGTAAAGAGAATTTTGCTATTAATATGTAGCTGAATTAATCAGCTAATATGTAAATCAGCCTAGAGCAAGGCCTTTCAGTAACGTGAATCTGGAATTAAGTAGAAACGATTCTTTGCACTGAAAATCCACTCCAGCAAATGACTTTTTTCTTCCAAATCCTCAGCAGCTTGTTAATGTTTGCTGTGTCTGTGTTTCCGTGCTCCAGATATTCAGAGAGAGGAGGAAAAGGTGAAACGGTCGATAAAGGATGCTGCCAAAAAGGGTCAGAAAGACGCGTGTGTGATCTTGGCAAAGGAACTGATCCGCTCTCGGAAGGCCGTGAGCAAACTCTACGCATCCAAAGCTCACATGAACTCTGTTCTCATGGGGATGAAGAACCAGCTTGGTAAGAACGGCTCAGCCTGAGTACGGGGACTTTCCCTGCTCTCCAATTTCTATTTGCAGCACCGAGGTTAAATACAGGATGAGCTGGGTGAGCTTGGATGTGGAAGCAGAGCTGCTCTTGTTAAAGGCATCTGGGAGTGCTGGGCTTTGGGATCTGGGGAAATTCCTCCTGTACCAGGCCTGGAGGCGTACGGCTGCTGCGGGTCCGTGTCTGCGCGTCCAGCAAGGCTGGGCACCTGCCCCCAGCAGGCAGAGGCACTCACACAGTCACAGCAGTGACTTTACCCGTAATCACACGCTGGTTTTGCACAAACCTGAGCAGCACTGACAGCCTCGTCCTGATATTCTGCTCCAGTTGATTAGGACTGACATCCATGAGTAGAGTGAATACACATACACACATATATATGTATGTATGGACTCATATACGTCGAGGGAATCCAGAATTCAGTCTGGAGTTTGTATTAACTTGCTCTTCAGCTCAAGCAATGACTGCAGAAGTCAAGATTTCTGTCAGTTTGGTAACATTGTAAGTGTAAGGTTCTTAATGGTAGAGAAATGAAGTATTACTGTGAGAAGTAACATGCTGTAACTTCATTTGCTTCATTAAGGAGTGACCATGTTAACCACAAACAGGTACGTTAGCCATGACTAGGAAGCTGCAAGTTCAGATGAGAGAACTCAAGGACCTCAGAGAAGTCTTAACTATTATGCTTTGATCATGGTACATCAACATGTGTGAGAAGAGCCTATAAGCTTAACGTATAAGCTACGTTAAGAGAACAGCTTCTGGAAAGACTTTTTGGTAAATCCAGCTTAAACTACACATTTTTAGTGTATCTACTTCAGGGTTATTTTTCCAGCTTATCCTTTGCTGTGAAGCTGTTTCACTAGGACTTCTGCCAGAGTTTCTACTACCTGGGCAGAAGGTCGCTGGCTTGGTCAGCAGTTAGATGTGGAGCTGGACTGCAGCAATGCTGGTGGGCACCTCTGTAAGACCTCTGGCTGCTGAGGAGCACAGGCAGAAGCTCCTCAGGGATCTCTCTTCTATGAGCTGCGTCCACCTGGGTGGAAATCTCTGCTGACAATCTGGCAACTCCAGCTAATTGTACGGGAGCTAGATGCTTGGTTTTTCAGATGTGTAAGGAGTTGAGCTTTTCCAGGAAGGTAGACAAGGATAAAACAGAAAGATATACGTTTAAAAATGCCTAAACTCAAGTTTCTATAACAGGATATGGTTTCTCTGCTTTTGGTGGTGCCTGGATTGTTCAAGCTTTTTCTGCCTCTCCTTCACAGCTGTCCTCAGAGTAGCAGGCTCATTGCAGAAGAGCACAGAAGTCATGAAGGCTATGCAGAACCTAGTAAAAATCCCTGAAATCCAAGCAACAATGAGAGAATTGTCCAAAGAGATGATGAAGGTAAGACCTGTAACGTAAATGAGAGACTTGGGTGAGCAAGAGGTGGCTGAGCAGCGTGCTGGAGCGCGGTGCACCTGCTTAGATAGTCTGAGGGAGGGTGTCTGGTGTAGCTCTAAGGAGCAGAAACGAAGTAGCACGTTACTGGCTGGGAACTTTGCAATAAGTTCCTGTCTGTGGGGAGAACCGTGACTTAGTGATACCCACAATGTGCTTGGTGCAAAGCTTACAGCAGAAAAAAGCTGCTGAAGTAGAAGGTGGAAGGAGGAAGGTTGTTCCCATACAGAGGAGTTGTGGTTGGTGGTCCCAAGGGCTTGGGGAACCAGGGCTTGAAGCAGGATTCACGCCCACACCCCAGTGACTGCCCTGAACCCTGAGCTGTTCGGAGGGAGAGCAAATTTCCTGCTCTCAAAGAGGGCAGCGTTCGTTACAGGACGCCCACCACAGCCCGTTGTAGAGTGGGAAAGTGAAAATCCCATCTGAGGCAAAACAGCCATCTTGATGCTGGTTTTAGAACACCTAGTGTGGTGTCTCCATCTGATGGAAGTGCTCTGATTTTATAGTGTACTCGTTTCTTATTGTGGTTATTTTCAACTGCCAAAATCTTGTTCTTTTCTCCTCTTACATGCTGCTCAAGATTGGTTGGGTGAAACCAGCTTGTTTCTTAACAATTTTATGACTGTGCACCAGAACAATCTGGCCATATATGGGCTGCAGGCCCTGCAGGGGGTGTTTTAAATGCAGATAGAAAAAAGGAAAGTTTATGTGAGACCTAAGTTGTAAAACAGGCTGCAAAATGTATGCTTTGTGATGGAAGCATGTGAAATACAGCTGCATCTGCGACTGCAGACGTGTAGTAACCGGGGTTGTAGATATGCAGAGATGCAACAGCAGTGAGTAAGAGCTGTGGGGTCTAAATGTGGGAACACACAGCTCATTTTCAGTTCTCTTACTGCTTTTCTTACGCACCAGCTGTACGGATGCAGGCTTAAACTGTAGGTGAGCGTGTTGGGCAGCCCTCGTGCAACAGAGCAGCCTTTCAGGAAAGCTCGAGCAGCAGACGAGCAGCACGCCTGTGGCAGTTGTTAAATGCCTGGGGTAGGCACAACCTGATGCTGACAGGGGGACCTGTCCTCTCTGCTGCTTCCGAGGCCATCACGTGCTGCCCTTTTGTTTCCTGGCAGGCTGGCATTATCGAGGAAATGCTAGAGGACACCTTTGAAAGCATGGAGGATGAGGACGAAATGGAGGAGGAAGCAGAGATGGAGATCGACAAAATCCTTTTCGAAATTACAGCGGGTGAGTCTGCGTGTGTTTGCGGAGCGAGGAGCCTTCCTCCTGCTCTGTTAACTACGAAGGTGCTACGCTTTAAACTTCCATCTGTCCTGGCTTAACAACTGTGGCCTCCCAGAGGTGCCTTTACCTTCCCTAAAAGCGAAGGAGTGCCTGACAGACTGGTTTCAGGGAAGGCGGGTGGTGCAGCCAGCGAGGTTCAGCGAAGCATGAACAATAAAGCAGCAGCTGAAGTCCCTGCAGTTTATCATTTAGGCTTGACCAGATTCCTGTCTGCATTGGCTGCTTTTAACAAGGTAAAATGTGTGTGCCTGGGCAGATAGATACACTACTGTTAATGAAGCCAGGGAATCAACTTTGCTTCACTGCCTCAGTTCCTAGGCTGCCCTGGGATTCCTGGCTGTACAATGCCGTTCACGACTTGAGCAGCTGAATAATAACTAGGCAAACAAAAGCTCCTGCCTTACACCTCGTGAGGTGCTGAGCTGCTCTTTTAGCTGTTTGACTTGGGCGATGCTCAGACTGCTCTTTACCTGAGTTTCTTGTGAAAGGGGCTGGTGCTTGCAGTGCCAGAGCAGCGCTCAGCTCTGACACCTTGCCTGCCAAGTGCCCCCGCTCCTCACCTTGCGAGCTGCCGCTGGCACGCTGCCCTCTCTCGTTTCTCTTGCCCTGCTTTGTTTTGCTTTCTTGCCTCCTGTTCCTTGCTCGGAGAAGCTCCCTTCCTGCTGTGCTGCGGGCTGTCGCAGTGGGGCGGTGAGGAGAACGAGAAGCACAGAGCTGGAGCTCTTCTTAGCAGAGCACTGTCCTCAGGAGCCTGACGAGTACAACAGCGTCAGCAGCAGGGCCTGTAAACTCCAACTGTCTGGCTGAATTATTTCAAATAACTGACATAATTTCCATTACAAGCTGCTGGCTATTAAACAAAGACTTAACGCATGCTAAGGGGTCTTTTTATGTTGTTTGCTTGCAGGGGCCTTGGGTAAAGCACCCAGTAAAGTCACAGACGCTCTGCCGGAGCCCGAGGACTTGGGAGCGACGGCTGCTGTTGATGAGGAGGAGGACATCGAGGCCATGCAGTCCCGCCTGGCCACCCTGCGCAGCTAAGGAGGGAAGAGCCGTGTACAGTTTGCCTTTTGTTTTGTGGCAGGATGCTCTATCCTGCCTTCCCGATGCAAAACTTAATACGTGAGGATACTTTGTGTAATATATATATTTTTTTCTGTCCTGGGGACTGTATTCTCCAAGAAACTCCTGTAATATACTTCTTGGGGACTGCAGGCTGGAGAGATGATTTTATTGTTTTCTGTTCAGCCTTTTATCACCTGTGAAAGGTTACAGTGAAATGGCAAGGGTGTTAAATTTTATGTATTTTTAGTTATGAAGTCTTGGATGATATTCTTAGCTTCAAGTATCATCTTTCCCTGAAAGGCACTTTGGCTTAGTCTGCTACCAAAAACCCTTCAGTGGTGTAAGATCCGTGTTTTTCTGACTCACTACAACTTTTATTAAAGCTGCTCTTAAACTGATGCACAGGAGCAACTGGTAGTTTTCATGGCTTCAGGCTGCTTTCACAAAACAGGTCCACCTTGAACAACTCCCCCTTGGTTTTACAAGACCCAATGCATTGAGGATGTCACAACACAGGTAAAGGAAAGCTAAGTCTTTAAAAATAAGACTTAAATACATGTTTTCTTCCAGTGCTGGTCAGGCATTGTATGTGCACAGGGGGAGTCCTGTTTCATGGAACAGTATCAGCGTGTCAGGCTGATCGTAGCTGCTTAAAGAAGTGTATTTCTCACTCTAAGCTACATGTAAAGATGCAGCACTCCTAAGAGGCAGATGGCAGCCTTGGCACCAGGTTGGTAACAGGAGGAGAGAATCCACGCTGGCACAGGCCTGGCTTTCTTCTCCCTCTGCCCTCTGAAGGTGGAGGAGGGCATTGGGATGGGTTAATGCCTCCAGCTGGTGGTAGGTAGTCAAAGAGGAAGGTGCAGAGTGCCTGGGCTGGGCACTATGACGGGAAAGTCAGTGAACTTCCCCTCCTCTTCCCTGGACAGAAGGCTCTGCTCATCTGCCAATCCCGTAACTGATCAGGGCAGTTTTACAGCCAGTAGCCAGGCTGTAATAATTCATCTGGCACTGAAGTGAAAGGGGAGCTGCCTTCAGCTTAGCCCTGTCAGGTGCTGCTGCGTCATTGTCCCCACAACCACAGTGTGGTGGCAGCTGCTGTTTAAGTAGCACATTGTTAGGGCCAGAAGAGGCCAAAACACAAGGAGAGGTCTCTCCTTCCCAAGAAAGACTTCAGGCAATGTGATTTCAGGCATCGTGACTCACCGCAGGCAGAGTGTGAGCAACTCGCCCCTTTGTTCATCTCTCACCTAAGAGGCTTGTGATACTCCTGTGGTGCTGACAAAGGAAGCAGTTGCTAAGACTCGCCACCAGAAAAGCCTGTAATGGTATTCCAACAGCAAGAGCAGAGGAGCAGATAAGGTACGCAAACAGAAACCTGGATGCTGCCCAACAACATCCAGTTTCAGCCATAAAAGCAAGGAGGCACCAAGCACCCTTCCCTGTCATGCCAGAGAACAGGAAAAGGTCCCGGAGCAGTCAGTGTAACCTTAATGTTTGGAGTACCAAGCTCAAGGGTTCCCTCTTCACTGCAAACCTACCAAGAGCTGGACCAGGACACTTTGTTTCCCCTGCTCTTAGCACTGCAGCCAGGACAGATCCCAAAGGAAGAAAAATCACTCAGAGAGGCAGTGGGATGCAGCAGTTGAGAGCTGGGATAAAAACAGATTGTGTAACAAGGTTCAAACTCCAACTCCCAACAATGTGTCTCTTCATACATCCGTGCACATTTGCATGCATCAAGTCAGCATGACTCATGGCACTCGCTGGGTGGTGAGGTACCTGGCTGCCAGCTCCCCACACATGCTCTAACCAGGATCCAAGAGAAGCAATTAACTGCTTTGTTTCATTTACTTTAAACTTGCTACTGCAAGAAAACATTCATCTGAAACACTGCCTTGCCTCGAAGGATATGTAACTAGCTCAAAGTGCCAAATCAGCCTTGTTTTTCCTTCAGGAGCTGGCTCAGGCAACTGGAACAGGCCAGGCTGTTTATTATCAAATAGAGATGGCAGCAAGGGAAGAGGGAGGGACATTCTCACTGAACACAGCAGAGACAGGGAGTAGCTCTGCTGAATTTAAGCTAGCAGCAGCAGCTCAGTGAACTGGAACATTTCCCTGCCCCAGGAGTAGCAGAGCACTGGTGCTGACTCACAACTACCTGAATTCCTCACCCAGCATTAGGGATCCTCTCCTGTCTTTTTGAATGCCTCTTCTTAAAAAAACAACCTAGCAGCCAGATCAACTGGCTACCCCAGCTCTAAGTGGTCACAAAGAACTCCACCTAGAGGCAATAAACACAGGATCAAGTTAATTATGTCTTCGTTTTGCATCTTTAATTCTGGATACCTCCTTCTGCCTCAATTTTGAGGCAAAGGAAGTAAGCGTGCCTATTCCCAGCAGACAAACCTTATCAGTCCACCATCTGCTAAGTTGATTAAGAGCCTTACTCCCTGCAAGAAATACAGCCTCAGGTACAGTTCCACTACTGAGGAACATGTAAGGAAGTTTCTCTCAAAACAAAAAAAACTGGCACAAAGACAGAATAGTTAATGCTGATCAACAGTAGCAGGTGAGTGTTGTGGGGAGGGGAATATCCAGTGTGTCACCATGTAACAGGGTTCCCCTCCCTCCTGTCTCATCCCAGCAGCTGTCCTGTGCAGTTCAGTGCTGAAAAGGGCACTGAGGAACACAAAAGTTGATTTTATTTCAGCTTGTTAGATGACAGATGCACTTCCCCTCTGCTTGTTTTTACAATTTGATTCTTTTTTCAGTCTAAGTAATTTTAGAGCAACGTGCTTTTTTAAGACTGAGTCTGCAAAACTCACTTGATATAAACCATTGTACCAGTATTGGTTGAGAAACAGAAATCAAGCTAAACCATGTTTCGGTTAACCAAGAAAGCTATAAACAGAGCTATCGCTAAATTAAATACCATAAGCTTTCAGATAGTTAAAAAAAAAAAGTATGAACAGTATGATACACAATTTGCTTCTGCATTTCAAAGCACTGCACGAAATTAATTACATTTTCAAGAGTCAACTGAAGAAGCTGGGCAAGGAGCAATATCTGAAATAGAAGAATTTTATGTAGACCATTCAGTGTTAAAAACCAGAGAATCAAACATAAGTTCAAATTAAAGATCAGTTTCAAACAGAAGACATTTGATTAAAAGTTTCTTTTAACATTTAGAAATTTAAATACATTTACCTAAAGATGGTTAATCCCCACCTCTATGTTACTATACAATAGCTTAAAGCTACTTTTAAATGCTAGTTCTATGTTAATGTGAAATTACAGAACTGCATTCTTAGTTTATTTTTATGTAAATCGGTTATTAAATTGGTGACTCCATACTTCCTCCCACCCTAAAATAAATTTTTAAAAATTGGAGCTTTACAAGTCTCGGGTAATATTTTTCAAATGAGTAATTTGGAATAGTTTCCGACAGTTCTATAGGAGGTATTTTGTACAGTTTGGAGAGCAACTCCATATAAAGTTCTATTGCAACTGAGCATTCACAGTATGCCACAGTCCATACATATTACTACATATACATATCAGGTTTGTAAACATTGGAAGAATACACAGAACATAGTACCACGATCCTCTGGTACTGCTGAAAGGAAGATGAGGTAACATTCAGATAATCTCAAAGTCCACAGAGGTCCTGACTGAGTAGTTAAAACAGCTGCCAGCGCTTCTGTTTCATAGTGTGTGGTTAAGGCTTTCTAGTTTATGGTCTGCTAAGGCTGGATTCGTTCGCTCTCAGTATCCCAACTGCATCTTTAACCGCGTGGTATATGACATTCTTCACCTAGGAGGAAAAAAAGAGACATTTAAAGTTAAACAGCATGGTTTGGAGCAGTTTGGAAGACACTGACACACAGAAGACACCTGCAGAGCTTCCCCACCTTCTCTGCACCCCACGTGGCTCTCCTTTCAGGACAAACAGGCTCCTCAGCACCAGCTTCACTCACATCACTAACTTGTGAGAACAAATTCAAGTTCTAACAGGTTATAAACTGAAACTTAGTAGCCTGGGGAGAGTATTGTGGGTTCAACCAGAGGAAAAACAGCAGAAAAGGAAAAAGGTAACACTTCAAAACAATCTCAGAGGGCCTCCACAGAGCTACTGAACATGTGTAACAGTCCAAAAGCCTACTGAAATTCCTACTGAAATTCCTTTTTGGAGGTCCAGTGCATTAAAGCTGATCCAAGTGTGAAATGTTCTATAGATGGCTAAATCATTACTGCATGGGTTTGGTGAGGATATTTTTTTTTTTAAAGGGAGAAAGGGGACAGGGTTCTCCTTGAGCTTACCTGCAATTTATCTTCGTGGTTTGTATGTGTATGTGACAGATATCTAAATTCCTGAGTGAGCCAGAAGCAATGCTTGACGTGCTCTGGGGATACAAAGTCTTCTGCAACTTTAATACAACTGTACAAGTTATGAACCTAGAGAGAACAGACGAATATTAGCCACATGTGCAAAGTCTGCCCAAGCAGTCAGACTGTAAATAGTGTCACTGGTCCTTGCCTGGTGTGGAGCTCCTGCTGGAATGAAAACTACATCTCCTAGAAACTGTACAATAGCCCAGCCTTGAACTCCATACTCCTGGTGAAGGCGTTTTCTTAGAGATCTGTCCAAGTACCAACTTTGATCATGAATAGGGTCGTGATCGACAGGATTTTCTTGACCTTGTTCTTCAGCAACCTGAAAAGTCAGGAAAAGAAACGTATTAGAATATACCAGTCCTACTGGATAAGCGAGATACGTGTGTGGTATGACTTATGCATGCATGCCAGATTGAGTGACTTGCACCACGTGGCCAGGTGTAAGAGCTGTATGCAACCCTTACTCACTCCTTGGTTTGTGAAGGCTGCATCATTTTGCATTCCCACTTGCTTCACAGACACGTTGCAAAGGTGGATACAATAAAAGCAAATAATTCCAATTTACAGTAAGAAGAAACAGAAGGCTTAAGTGACTCATGTTCCCAACAGGAGCCACTGCCACATGAAATGAGCACTCTTACACTACTACAGCCTGTCACTGGAAAAAAACATCACCAAATGCAGCAGGTGCCTGCCCCAAGGCCAGCACTAGTCGGTGTTCTCAGTGACCAAAACAGAGGACGCTAACACAGTTTTCAGAAGACACCGTGCTGGGAAGCACAAGGACTTTGTATGAGAAGTTTGAGGGGTAGGAGGAGGCGGGGCGAGAATTGGGCTGCAGCCTGAGAACTCATTTGTGAGGAGATGAATGGCTTGGTTCTACCCCCAGGTAAGGTGCTGAAGGCCTCACACCTGCAGGCAAGTAGACTGGGAAGAGGTGTGGGATACAGGCATCAAAACAAACCACCACTGCCTATCAAGTTCAGCATCAAGTATATCACGTATAGTATTGTATAGTATCAACAAAGAACAAATCTTAAACTGCTGTAGCTTCAAGCTTTTGTCCAAGACAATAGGCTGACAAAGCCAATAGTTGCTCAGACCATCCCATTTATCTTAAACACTATTTTTATTTTATTTTTTGCTTTTAATGTGCAAAAGATGTTCCAGAATTAAGATGACCAAAAACTCTGGACCATTTGTGATAAATTCAATACTGAAATAAGCCCTTTTGGATATAGTGTCACATTTCTTCCCTCCATTAAACTTTATCTCCCATGAAAACCATCTGCAGAACCTTGTACTTTACCCTCAATCCAAACCTCATAAAGGAAGGTATGGAAAAAACATAGAAGAACAAGGGAGAACCACAAAGCACATCTTACTCTGACATTCCCTAAGAGCATCTCATATGCATGAAGATGGGTTAGTTTAATTTTCTTTTTCTGAAATCTAACAGCACTACATTCATTCATTACTTGTGCTATAAAAAGGGTGGACTAAAGCAGTGTATCTAGGTGGGGTAGCTTCAAACTTCCTCTCATTACCCTCCTACAAGATCCAAGTCACTCAAGAATTTTTGTCTTGAAACAACCCAAGTACATTTGTTTCTGGTTTCTAGAATAAATGGCAGAGAAAAGAGGTTTAAAAAAAAGTCCAAGGATGTATTTGTTAGTCTACACAGAGCAAAATAGTTTCAGATATAATGTTGCCTACCTTTTTAAGGAATTCCCGGATCTTCTCCGTATCTTTAGCAGCATAAATGTGCCACAGAGCTCCAGGTTTTTCTCGACTTTCAGTGAAGCGCTTAATTGTCAGTTCATCAGAATCGCCATCTTGTATGGTTTTAAGCACTTCTGTTAAGAGTAAACACAAGCAGTTACTCTCAAAGTTATGCTTTCCTCCAACCACAGAAACAATCCCCTCCAGAACAAAAGCAAGACTTCACCTTCTTCTTGATCAGCCTGCCCTTTGGGGATACCCACATAAACCATTACGTTAGCTGCATCAGACACATCTAAATGGAGATTTGTCGTGCCGTATTTTCTATCTTCTGGTGTTATTAAGCCTGAAAAAAAAAAAAAAGCATCCACTATGTTAGCAAGAGAAATAGAAATCTTATGCCACTCTAAGCAGAACAATCTGAAAAGCCCAGAGAGCATTCACTTTCATAAGCAAATGCCTCCAGGACAGCAATTTACTTTATTGCCAGACCCCTGCACCACATTATTTGTGTCTTAGTGTTAAATTTACAGACTACCACATCAGTCTGTACCTATATCTAGGCTGTAGGATATATAAAATTACCTTTAAATGCTACCAGAGGGTTTTACCAGAGCAATTTAGAATGAAGTATACTCAGCAACAGTTTCTTGTTCACTAAAGGCAGCTGCTGCAGTATTTACCAGTCAGGATCTCTTTACTGGCCATGATCATACTTAAAGTTTAAAGTGTTTTTTTGTTTGTTTTTGAGTGACAGCAGATGAGCCAGCCATGGAAAGAACTGCTCAGGAAGAGATTAAAAATTAAATGATACAACCCAAAAAGGAGAAGTGTCCAGAAGTAACAGAACAAATACATGTGGCCAGCTATAAGAAACTGAGGCAGTATTACACATGGAGCAAGTTGGAAGTAACTGGCAACAGGCTGCTATTGGCTTGAGCCCACCCAGACAAAAAACATTTACATCACCACATAATGATCATCAGTTAAAAACGAGCCAAAATTAAGTTTTCCAATTAAGTAATTAATCAGATGATCTACTACTAGAAGGAATCTTCTAGTTTATAGTAAGCTTTGATTCAAACGTGTGCAGAATGACCTATAGCATGAAAACTCCTTACCGTATGCATTGTACATCTTGGGGCCCAAATCTGGTCGTACGAAGTAGTTGGGAAGGCGAGAGGCAAGGTTGAGCTTGCCGCCTCTCCTTGTGTATTCTGGCAATGGAATATTTTTCATCAAATCATCAAACCTAAAAGGATACAGCACGATTTAGTGTTAGGAAATGATAAAAAGGCAGCAGACTAAAAAACAGCAACAAAAACTTTCTTCAGTCAAGAAAACATACTCCTTCCTCCCATGGTGGTGGAATATGGTACACCAGGAAATGGAATTAAATAGGTAAGACTGGAATACAACCGGTGTATATATTTTTTTTTATTGCATGTTGCAACTGCAGTGTTATTTTTTTGTGCAATTATCTTAAAAAGTACCAGATAAAGTAAGTCGCAACACTTAAGATGGGTTTCATGAAAAACCCTTCAACGAACTTTAGATTTTCTAAATGCCTTCATTTTGAAGTTCCACAAGTTTAAGCAATCATAACCAATTTTAGGCACTCATTTTACTTATCAATATATATTTTACTACTTCAACAACCATAGAACTTGTTCGGCATTTCTAACTATGTCAGGCATCCCTGAGAAACAAAATGGCTCACATGTGACCAACCGCTTTTCAAAGCTGAAGCAGGCATTAAAATGTAACAGTATTTCTACATTCTATTATTTTGGGGGTATACCACATAAATGAACAGTTTCTTTGGAAATTCATACCGAGAAGGCATCATGTCTCTGAAGTCTTCTCCTGGAGGCCAGTCTTTAAGCTTCAACACCATTGGCTCTCCCTCTTCTGTCCTCAGACGACCTATTGTCAAATATTACCAAGCCTTAGTTTTCAATAGCTTGTGCAACTCAAAATGTAAAGGACCAACTGCAGCAAAGCCCAATTACCGTGTGAACATCAACCTTAGACATGATTTTGTTTCACTTTGCTGAGCATAAAGCAAAGTGAACCTACTCACTAGGAAGATCCTAAGCTTCTTAAGAATGCTTCCCCAAAAGACTAAAGGCAGCCAAAACATCCTCCTCAGGGAGAGTCCTTAACAGGGCTGGCAAAATTTCTACTTAGTCCATCATCCTGCAAGCATACATGGTGACAATACCTGGCAGACACTGTCTGCAGAAGAAAAAGCCTGCAGTGTCTTTTATTCTGCTTGAGGCTGCTAAAGGATGGCAAGTTCATGCTAGGGCAAGATTATTGCTGCTGAATATTTTAACTACTGGAAAACCAAAACAACAACAACAAAAAGCCATAATAAACAAGCAAAAAAAATCACGCTTACTTGAAATATCTTCAAATCCATCCCAGAAATCCCCTACAGTAGCGCCAGTGATGATTTCATTGGTCCTGCAGTTAACCAGATCTACTTCCTGTTGGCCAAATTCCTTCCTAAAGGACTCTGGTCTCCAGAGGTCTGCATTTAGTTTGTGATGCACTCCGGACACCATTACAGGCTACAAAGAAGAAGACACCTTAAGAATCATTAAACACCAAAACCAGTAATCCCAACCAAAATAGGGTGGGTAATCCATATAACATACTGAACAAGTAGTAAGGTTTAGATCCTTAGATAAAAGGATGGATAAATGTTCAGGTAATCCATTTTATAAAGTTTTAGTGTTGGTTATCATTGCAGTAAGTTTTAACCTGCCTTTTACGTAAAAGTGCAAAGGATATGACTTGAAAATGGCCAAAGTAGCACATCTCAAATACCTGTCCCTGCTTCCAGCACTCCCTGAAGACGTTCCAATTACTTTCATTGTTGGGATCTTGAAGACATAGTAAGCGGTTATCACACAGCCAGTAGTGAGGCGTATCAAAGCCCATTATTGTAGGCTTTATAGTCAGTCCTTGAGGTTTCCTAGGCAAGTCTGTAATGGTTCTGTTTTGCACCAGGGAAGCAAAAATATCATCAAGGATTTTGGGTGTAGTCTTGAGTCCGTTGTCTGTCTGATTTAGGGAAAAAAAAAGAACAGAAAAAGTTGGTGTACTTCTGTTGTCTTGTTCTTTGTACTGCAGACTTTAAAGGTGATATATTTAATGTTGATGAATTGATAACATTCGCCACTTCAAAGATTTTTTACTCCAGCTCACCATCACACAGCAAAAGAAAAGCCTGCAGAAGTTCTGCTGTCTAGAAATTCACCATCACTAAATGCCAGTGTCACTTCTGATACTGACTACAGCATTCTGGCAGAAGTGGTTCTACCCCGATTTCAGCAACAATGCAGAAACCAATGAAGTACAGCATGGAACAGGGCTTTCTTCATATCAAAGAACAGAAATGCAGTTTCATCAAAGAACCCTCCAGGCCAATATTTTACCCCACCACTTTCAAGTTGCATCTGTAAAAGCAAATAAAGCCTAGGAGTATCTGAAGCAAACCAGCCTGCAAGCTAAGTACAAGAAAGTTACCCAACACAAAAGGTTTTTAGCTCCATCTCCACATTCCTTGATGGTTCTCTTTGAGACTACTTAATGGACACACCAATTAATGCAGCTGCCAGACATTAATCCTGAGTAAATCTGTCAGCTTTATCACTTGCTTCCTAACCCTCATCAAGCAAGACTTCCTGATAGTTAATGGGGCTATCTGGAGCACTGCAGGAGACACTGAATTAAGTCCTTTTTCCCAAGCAAAGAAGGAATTTAACCTACTGTGACAAGTGTCTGTGATAGCTGATCACAGGTTTAGAACAGTAACCTAAGCTTGGTATCAACTTGAGCCACTACAGCAAAAAAAAAAAAATTGTATACCTTTCCTCCAGAAGAATTCAGGAGATTCCGCAAGAAACCTGTGTTGTTGTTGCTTACAGGTGTTAATATTGCACTGTTGAACGTCTGCAGGGCTGCAGTAGGCTTGGCTAAACTAGGGAGTGTCTGAAGAGGCTTATTCTCATTCTTTGAAACGGGTACAAGGAGTTTTTCTGCAATGAAGAAAAGAAAGAAACATTTGAAAATGAAGCAAGGATTAATCCTCTGAACCAAAACAAATACATGCTTTGAATTTTATTTTTTTAAAGGAGATGAGATGCTCACATATACATATGTACATATACACACACATCATCTCTCAATACACTGATGAATTATTTATTTTGCTAGACTTCCTTAAAGATCAACATTTTAAAATTTATTTTAAAATAAACAAATAGACAGAAAGGGTTTACTCTTTACCAGTTCCACACATACCTTTGTTTTCTTTATTCACGTTTCCACTCGTTAGATTTGATAGCCAACTTAATGAAGGAGAAGTGTTCACTGAAGCAGTTTGTTTACTTCCAACTGTTGATTTTACAGGAGGATCATGTGTAGTGACTTGTGGGCTCAGGACTAAGCTGGTATGCTGAAGGCTGGTCCTCTCTCCAGGTACCAAGTTCTGAAAAAAAAAAAAAACCACAAAGGTGAGAACTTGATTAAATACAAACACTCTACGCAAAAATAGGTAAACCGAGCAACAATAAAGATACGAGTAAACAAAATAAGGTTTGGCCCTCCATTAAGTAATCTGATCTCCACAAGAGGTCAGCATCGCATCTTAGTATGGGTGAGAGATGAAGATCCAGGAGAAACTGACCTCCCAACTTCAAGAGCAGATGGAGTCCCTCACTCCTCAAGATAAATAAAGATAACTGAGTTTCCCAGATTCATTTTTCTCGGACCACTTTGGGAACCAGATACAGTTTTAACAGCTGCTCTCTCGCCATGCTAGTAACAGCTGATGTTCAGACCAGGGCTAAGCCTGAGGTCTACTTCACTACATTAAAACTTGTCTGTAGAGCTTCTAATTTTTTTCCCCCCCTCAAGAAAGCAGCAGAAATCCCCTTACCTACCAGGTCTAAAGCAGCTATGTGAATGAGTGCAGCTCTGCCCTGGCCAGCAGAACACAAGCACACGACCCACTGTACATCTCCCAGGTAGCTGAGTTATCTATTTGTTTGGAACTTCAACATTGCCAGGCTAATAACCACAACTACTGCTTTAGCCTGGGATTTCTGGCTAAGTGTCTCTTCTCTGCTCAAAGACGTGCAATCAAGAAATTTTTTTGCACCTGCATCTGCTTATTGCTACATTTGTTTCATCTCTTAGTGACTGCTGATACTTGGTAAGAATTCCAAATACGATATTGTATAAAATGCCTCAAACTGTAATAAACTTATCCCCACACCACCTGTGCAACAATGTAAAACAAGTATTTGCCTCATTTTGCAGAAAGGGACACACAGAAAATTCAATGCTGCTCTTTGTTCAGGGTCACACAAGAAATCTTGAGAAAAAGACTGAAGCTAGGTCAGTCATACGCTAGCTTTTTGACTACATAACCATCCTCCTTGCTTTTAACACTTCACAATGTTCCTCACCTCTCCTGTGGATTACTACCAAACCGAAATCAAGTTCAGCCTGCTTCTTGGGCTCAGGATCCCGTATTTCTTCTCAAAAATAAATTTATAAATAAGCATGTAGAAAATTGAAAGAACATAATTTAAAGGACACTGCTTTCTTGCAACTCTTTGCAAAATTAAATTAATTTGTGCATATTTTGGAAAAACTGGGTTGCCCAAAGCCCCATCCAGCCTGGCCTTGAACATTTCCAGGGATGGGGCATCCACAGCTTCTACGGGCAGCCTGTGCCAGTGCCACACTACCCTCTGAGTACAGAATTTCCTCTTTATAGTGAAATCTAAACCTACTCTCTTTTAGTTTAAAGCCACTGAACAAAAACCTACATGGTGAGGTTAACAGCAGCAGTCAGGACTGGCATGTCTGTGCCAAGTCTGACTTCAGATATGGGTAGATTGAGGCAAACCTAGGGATTATTTCAGGAACACAGACAGAGAGAGAAATGGTAGCAATACCTGTTTTGAATCCTCCTTTAGAGTTGGCTTTGATAGTGCTTTGAATTGCTTGTTTGCACAGGGACAATTTGCCTTTATTCCCCATTTTGTTCGTACAGAGTGAACAATATCACCAACATCATAGAGTGCTGAAGGAAAAGAGTAATTAATGAAGCTCACATTTAATTAGAACACTCAGCATTCAGTACCATTTTTAAAGTTGCATATACCATGCAGCTGGACAATAGCATAGGAACACACTTCATCTTTACAAAGAAGTCACAAAACTTCACGTGTAAAGGTCAAAGATAACTGAATAGTACTAAGTACACAGGCTGTTCCAGATTATGAAGTGAAACCCTTTGACAATAGATGCCAAGCTTTAACTAGCTTTAGATATCAAAAAAGTTGCTTACTGCAATATCAACAACATACAAAAGACAGCAGAAGCCAACAACTTTCTTTTCCCGTCCCAATCAAGTATTTTAAATACCTTTTCCAGGAATTATTTGTGTAGGCATTAGATTCTCTGGCTCATGTACCTGCCCCTTCACACATTTAAACCAGGAGAAAGTATCTGAGTCATCATCTGTAAAACAGCACCATTAAGTAGTTTTATTAGTACACCTTTCATCTTCCTTTTGGAAAGCTACAGCTTTTCTTACCCACCTCTTCCCCTTTGTGTAAGGTAGGGATGTGCATTCTCACCTTCATTGAGGCTTTTTTTCTTCATCCTGTAACAATCGACGCACACACCGAAGCCACACTTGGAGCAGACCCAGTGAAGGTTGAAGATTGTGGTGTCGCACACGTCGCACATTTCTCGAACCCCACGAACTGCACGCTTCCAGGCTACCTGTTCTGTGGTAATCGACAGGTTTGGCAAAAGCATTAGTTTAAACAAAACCAAAATTTGAATGCTAAATATAGCAACATTAAAAACTTTGCGGATACAAGCAAGGTTCTGTCTGTTCTCTATTGGAATCCCAAAACAAATCCTTTGTAGTCACAGATTCAGAAAAAGCACGCCCAGAACAGTCTGAGCAATCAAGATCATTTTGCTTTCTCCTTTGCAGCACCCAACTACACCTGTTACTCCTGACGTGCTTTTGTTTGTGTTAACATGCAAATTGTTGACACTCTCCTAATGGAAAATTCCACAGCTGCCCTAAAAAAGAAACCTAAGCTGCTACTAGCAAGCTAGGCTTAATTTCTAGATTGCCAGTCAGTTTGGACTTGTCCTCTACGGTGTAGTACAGACTGCATGGCATTCTCTCACTTTCAGTAAGTTTTCTACATGTTATGGTGTGTATCAGACCTTCTCAGAACAGCTACCTGCTAAGTTGTTCTCTGATTTGTGCAACTGACTGTTCTGTTCAGGTTTATTACACACCCAAATAATTAATCTTTTCTCGCTTCAAGTCATTTCACGAATTCCCATAAAAAATCCCAAATGATGCCAAGTGTCTTCCAAAACACTGTGGGCCCTCCCAGGGCAGCGTTATGTACGTATCATTCATGCCTGTACTACATTTCATCATGTAGACAGCTAAAAGACTAGACTAGACAAGAAACAGCTTCTGCCTCCTACCTCCTCCACACTCATAACTTCTGAAACTTTTCTGCCACGTTTCTTAATGTTATGAGCAAGCTATGAAAGAACACCTCCTAAAGTATGCTTTACAAAAAAAAAATAAAGAACACAAGTGCCAGGATTTAAGAAAAGTTCCTTTTCCTCTGCATATTACTCATTAACTATGTATGGAACAAAAGTAGAATAGTTTGGCACAATTTGCTCATAGCAGGAGGTAAAAGTTGTTTCACTTCTTGCTTCAAGATTCTTCTATGAACCCAAGGCCTATCACCACTTCCTTTCTTTTTCTTCTTCACTTCTTAAAATTGTGTTGTATTTATTATTTTCTATGCCAATCCTTTAATTCCCCAAACAGAGTATGAAGTTTTTTTTTTTTTTTTTGCTATTTTATATATAGTTTGACATCTCAGTTTCCTGATTCTGTCCTTTTGCTCTCCCTCCCATTCTTTCATTTCCTCCCTGTCACCTGACCCTGCCTTCTCTCTCTCTCCGTAGGCCTCCTTTTTGCACGAGGTTGCCAAAGAGCTGTGTGACCTAACCAAGCCGTTCTTCCTCCACTGGTCAATCTTTCCCTACACAGCAATAAACGCACGTGTGCTTCTCCTATTGAAGGAACTCTTTAAGGAAACTCTCCCAAACCGTTTTCTCCCTCACAATTGTCTTGAGGCTCTACATACCTGCCACCCCTGCCTGAAGGGCTTCTTTGCCCTATCCTCTCTATTGCTACATGATCCCAAATTCTTTCCTCACAGTCACTCTTACTCAAGCTGCCTGATACCTGGGTCCAGAAGCCTGTTTCCAAGAATCTTTTCCACCAGTGAACATTCTTTTTAAAATTTCAGACTGATTACCTGCCATCAGCAAATTCTGCAGCACCTGGCAGAATACAGAGGATGAACAGTTCTACCCACACCTGAAAAGCAGTAGCTCAGAGTCAATCCTTCTCTCTAACTACTAAGACATACACTAAGACACTAAACTATTTCCTTCCTAGTCAGGGCATTAAAAATCTCCTCCATTTTCATGAAATCGAATTCCCTTACACACACCAGCTAGGGCTATAAACAAGCAAAGAGGAAATCAAAACATTTAGCTCCTTTGAAATCACCTCCAGAACTGACATGCTGACATGTTTATGTTGTTGTTGTTTTTTGCTTTTTTTTTAAAGCAGAGTGTATTTGTTGCACATATGCTAACAGATGCATTATCTGATACTAAGAATACACATCTACACCCTTTGTTTCATGAATTCCCCCCCAGGTTTCATCCTTCCAAAGCTGTTTTGATATTTTAGTCTGTATCTGTCACCCTAGCTATTGACACACTGACTCCAAAGGCCTGAAAGCATTCCAGCTCAAGTGAAAAACAGAGTTTCCAGGTTCCAAGTAGCCCAGGGCAGGACCCCACAGCAAGCATTTCTGAAATATTTTGAGTCTTTCCTTTCCCTTTTGAAGGCAGTCAATGATGTTCAGGTTTTTTTCTATTCCAAACCTTGGAGTGACTGGTAAAGTGACGTGACGTTTACGTAATGCCTATACCACCCAGCATGCAGAAGACACCAGGGTAGACAGTTTTCTAAGCTGTATTGCTTCTGTCATCTAGTTATAACGATAACTAAAACCAAACACCACACAGTCACAATTTTAAGAGCCATTCTACTCTGAGGAGTGATTTTTTGCTCACATTTGCTACAGAGGGAGTCTGATGTGACTGAAGAGCTCTGTAATACACTTTGAGGTTAGCCCTGCCTGCAACGACAGAGCTCTAAAAGCAGCTGCCCCATCAATAACATCTCTGGGCTGTCTGCAGTAGGGCTGGATTCACAGCTGCTTCAAACCGACCTACTGGAAATTGGTCCCCTGCTTTTAGATGGAGGAGAAAGCTTTTTTTACTGACTTTACAGGCAACGTTAGCTCCGTCATGCACAAACAACAAAAAAGGAGCAAAACAACCTACCAGAATCTGTGCACTCAACAGGAAAGCTTTATTTTACTTGCATGCTAAAAATAGCTGGTTGTCAGCTGCCTGCTGCTGTAGCCTTTTTTTTTTTAAACACTTCATTTCATAACAGCTCTACACTTTCTTTGTGACACAAAAACTGAGTATTTCTGACAAAGAATGGTAGAACTATGGTTTCTCCCCTCCACGAGCAAAGAGCTGATAAAACTAATTCATGCTAGACCTTAGGTTTCCTCTGAGAGCAGAGGGCAACACCCAAGTCTTAAATGGCCCTTCCAAACGCTGGCAATGCATTTTCACACAGGTCAAAAACTTGAAGTTTCACGTAAAGTTATTAAGATAGAGATATTTTAAACACAAATGGCTCTTACTGTGTGGTTCGATCGTAGACATAACTTCCTTCTCAGATATTACGAGCTGACAGAAGTGGTCCCCAATGTTGGCCAGGATGTACTTCGCTGTGTCCAGATCCAGACCCACAACGTTTTTTGACAAAGGCAGCCACAAGCTAATAGCCTCAGGGTCATACTTGTTCGGAGTTAAGAAGCCTTCCTCACGCAGTAACCCATGCTTATTGAACTGCAACCTGAGGGAAAGAGGGGGTAGGGGGAAAAGAAAAACCCATTACTTCAGATGTTTCATTACTTCACATTTGGCCCAGTGAGTCAATGCTTACACTGTAAACGTGTACACCATACATCAAGGAGTCGAACACTTCATGATTGCAAAGGACATAACTAAACATACTTGTCAGAAGTGCTAGACGTGTTTAATACACTGTTCGTTTAAAGAAAACGAGACTCATAACAGTTTCTATAGTAAGGTGGGCTTCCTAAAAATGTTTTTTAATCACATTAAAATTATCAGGTTATCATCATTTTAAAATTGTGCTTGCTTTAAGGATCATATCCAGAGGAAGCAACAGTAAGAGATTTATCTGGAACCAGGTGCAACTCAGAACACAAGTGTTACTTAAAAACACTATATATTTAAGTAACTATTGGTTCTGAAGTAGCTGCCAAAATGTTTCCAAGAACCCATCCGTTTTCTACAGCAAAGTTTGAAGATATATTCTCAAGTGATTCTGACAGGCAGAAAGAGTGATATCTGGAATTGTTAGGAGGTTAAGTAAAAAAGCAATCTACAGTTATGTTTATGTTTTCAGGAACCTTTTTATTAAGTGCTATTGAGGGAAGTTGACTTGCGATGACAACACCTGCTCACTGTATCACTGTGAGTGGCTAGAAAACATGCTGGTGGCTGATATTACAAAGAACAGCAGTTTTCAGGCTTTGCAGATTTCACATTCAATAAACACGGACTGTTCCATTCACTTTGACTTCTGAACTGAAAGATTCATCTGCAGTCCAAGTCTGAATTTTTTACTCTGAGAAGATGACTTAACATGGCCTGTAGTTACACACATTTGAGCATTTCAACAAATGCCACAATTATCCCAAGACTGACTACAGTAAATCTGTACCGGAGGATACATCACGGATTAGTAACGCATCTTCGTGTTTAAGCTTTCAGCTACGTGCCCTGCTTTTGGGTGTTGGAGAGAAAGGAACCTCAAGAAAAACAATGGAAAAGAATATTTTCTTGTCAATAAAATGTCTGTAGCTTTTCTGCTTTCAAGTTCTCTCTCTTCAAAAGCTCTTCAGGCATAGAACTTCTTTCTTCTACCTAGAGGCCCCCCAAAGAAACCCATTCCTCTGAAAATCAGAAGTAGAGCTAAGGATTGGTAAGCTTTCTATCTCCCTTGTGGGAGGTGGTATTTGTTTTTCTTCTCTTATATAAGAAGTGTTACTTTTTCCCTACATAACACAGTCCATATCTCAAAATTTAGATGGGTGGGGGGAAAATAAGTAGAGGCACGCAACATCTGGACTTGAGATCAAACAGTTCATGGAAAAAATTTATACAGCTTGAAAACAAAGGAAGGGACATGTTAAAAACAGCCAAACACAACAGTTTGACAACATCCACCCTGGACTTACAGATGTGCTTCAAATAACAGTTTAAAGCCCTTTTTGAAAGGGTTCCTTATGGTGGCTTAAGAACTGAAGACAGAAAAAACCAGGGGCCTTGACTGTTCAGCTCAAAAAAATAAAATAAAAAACAGGCTCACAGGGGAAGATCTGAAGCTGCAGATCAGGTTTGGAGAAAGCAAACAGCACTCAACGCTCACTGGGTTTTCCTCAAAGTTGCCTTGCTCCCCTACCCCACCTGCTCTCCTCAAAACCCAGTAAGCACGCTGAGTAAGTGTTTTTATAGCAAGCCTAGAGAAACAAACTCCCAAGCATGAAGTGGAAAAAAAAATGGAGCAAAACACAACATGAAACCAGGGCTTTGCCCATCACTCTTCTATTGTTCTGGGCTGAAAGGCCATGGTCACTTACTGGAACTCTTCCCCAGCTGTAAATGTGTCTAACATTTTTCGTGTCCCACTGCTGAACCCTGGGGGACACGCACAGAGTCTAACCTCTCAATAGCACCTCCAATACTAGCAAGCTGAAGCACTCAAACTAAACTCCAGTTATCCCCCTGGCATTCAGCCCAGAATAGCAAAAAAACAGCTCAAACTCCTGCCAAAATATTTTCTATTCAAATGAAGTTGTTAGAAGATTTCTAAGTGCTAGAAAAACACACGCAACCCCTCCTTGCTTAGGTATCCTGGCCTTATAGCTTAACAGCTACGCGCTGACAGCCAGCAGTTTTAAATCAGAGCCCTGAATGGGAACAAGTCAACCACAAAGCTGTTCTTCACCTGGCCCAGGAAAAGAAGATCCATATTACAGCTAACAGTGAGCACTCAACAGCCCGCCTTGGAGAGAAGAAACAACAAGACAGATGGCCAACTCCAACAAGTGACTTGTTCTTCATGTTTAACTACCACCAAGACCGCAGTTAATATTTCTCTTACCTTCTGAAGTGAAAGAATCGACAGAAGACAGTGGACTCTCTCTGATCTTTGTTCTTTCGGTAACTGTCCAGGCGGCACTCCCTGCATTTATGCAGGTGAGGTGCGATGTTATTGCAGGAGCCATCCTGTACAAACGCCTCTCCGCTCTGCTGCAGCTTCTTCACTTTAGCAGCATCTGCTAAAATTGACTTGCGGACCATGACTGTGGGGAAGAGCAGTGAAAGTTACACAACCTTTACTAATTAGCTCATCATATAAAGGTACAAGCAAAGGTCTTGTCATGAAATGGACCTGTGTCAACCATACATGTTACATTACACTGAAACAAAATAATGTGTAGACCCACATAGTCAAGTTACACAGCCTGGGGACCCAACCTTAACAGATCCATTCGCCCCTCACTGAAATCTATTTTGAAAGAGTGGCTGCTTCCAACAAAAGCACTTCTTCCACTATCAGGGCTTGAGTATCTGAGCATGGAGGAGACTTCAGAAGTATTGAGGACAGACATACAACCCATCCATTTCACAGCCCTCAAGGTGCAGTGGATTTCAGCAGCTCACCATAGGAGATGCCAAACGTCTCTCTGCCTCCCACACTGCAGGTGAGACCCAGCAGTGACTGCTTGGCTGGCTGTTCACCCACCTTAGTTAAGGAACAGCACGTGGTAATACAAGACCAAGCAACTTGAGATTAGAAAGAGGTGGGTGTGCAGGGAGATTCCCAGAAGCAGGACGATCAGCTGCACCGACGCACGGCACAGACACATTTAAGGAGCTGGGCTCCTGGTGACAGCTACAGCAATTCCCATCCTGCCACACATGGAAAATTTGGAGCACAGCAAGTGGAACCAGGCCACAAATAACACGGTGGCCTTTTTTTTATTTTTCTTCTTGACAAGTCATCAAAGGAAAGTCCCTTTTGAACAAAGCTTTGTTGAGAACATCCACTTCTCATTACAATTACAAAATTCAGGGCCACAGCTAAAAAAAAAAAGCAGCCTCATTACACCATCAGCTTCTGCATCCCAAACAGAAATGTATTCCTGTAACCCGTTTTGCCATTCTGTTCTTGGAGATATTCTGTAAAAAACTTTGTTTCTAGGAATTATTAGTCCTTTTTTCTTTTGCGGGAAAGAATATTTTCCTGTTTTATTGTATTGACCTTGTGAAAGAGCCCACAAGTGACTCAAATTCCAGATCACTTGTTCGCACAGTCTAAATTACTGTTTTTGTGTACGTTACAAAGGATATACTTGTATGACATCACACAGAAACCACAAGGAGTTTCAAATGACAGGAAGTTTTAAAAAATACTTGCCATTATCCTGGATCTTGGCACTTCCAGTCCAGAAGTTTTCATTTTCGCTTCTCTCAAAAAGAGCCTCATTTGAATTTCTCCTAATAAAGAATTCCATGTCTGCGTGTTCGTCAATCTTGTTTCCTTTTTGGCTGTTCTGGCTGTTACAGCTGCTTTGTGATTTAACTCCAGACTCAGGAAGAGAGAGAAGATGAGCATCGGAGGTTGAGGGCCGACAATCTAAAGTCCTCTGCAGTTCAACAGTGCTGTTGACTCTTGGTATTGCTATGGGAGAGTTAAGGTGTTGCATCTGTTTTGCAGGAACGCATTCTTTTGGAAAGTTTGTGGTGGGCTTCATTAAAGGTTCATTTGTATTTTTCAAGCTGGTTTCCTTTCCGTTAGCTGAATCAGTTAAAGACGAAGATCTTGAGGTTGTCAAAGAGGTATATTTACCATTTTGATCGTTAGGATTTTGCGTTTGTTCTTTAGATATATACGTCACTTTGGGGAAGGCAATCAATTCATCCTTCAATGGTTTAACTCCAGCATTAAGACAAGAAGGATGAGTTTCTGGTAAGCTCCGTCTACATGTGCTGAAACATAACACGAAATACTTAGAGAAGTATGTGTCAAACAAACCACAGCATCAGCTCTTCAAACCCAGTCACGTTTAGATCTTGAAAGAAGTTTAATCATACTTTTAATTCTGACACTTGAAGATGTAAAGTTGTGCGAAGTTCAATAGATTTGTGT